AGATGTTTTTGAATATACGGTATTAATCTTCTTTTAATTTCGCGTTTTTTTTTTTTTTGTTTTTTCATTGGCTTCTAATGCTTCGGTGGTGTTGTTGTGGACGGAATTTTTCTTGCGTTTTAATTGCGTACTTAGAAGCACAATTTTTCGATAACGTGAACGGCAATACTTTTTCGTTCTATTTTCTGAAGTAAAAGTTGCTAAATGAATAATTTATAGCAACATATGAGTCGTTCTATAGACGATTCAGCTTTACTCCAGCAGCCAATCCAAACAGCAGCTCAGGGAGTAGCAAGTGTTGTTGGCTATTGGCAGAAATCAACTTCTGAAGTCAAAAATCTTCTTGCAAATGAATGTGAAATAATCCTGGAATGCAAGTATGTATTGCTATTTTTAAGTTTTTTCATCATATTTTGGAGCTTTTGATTTTATTTCAAACGGTTGCTGTAGATATTTTTTGATGCATAACTTTAAGGTTTTGTCGGAGTTTCTATAGGACAATCAGGGATTTCTTGTCCCATAAACGTCAGTATTGTCGTACCCTTCTAGTTCAGCCGAATCTTAAGGCGTCAAAAGCAGCCCTTGAGATTGTTGAGCAGGCTCGAGCCCAAATTGCTAATGAAAATGTGGCAAAGGGTTTGCTTAAATTTTTCATGACATTTAAACAGTCTTTTTTATAGGCCATTTCAAAGCAATTACTATTTGTTGTAATCTTGTCCATCTTTTGAGAATCTTACGAACTACTGTTCAAGATTTAAAAGTCTTCGTTTATTTTTTTTGTGATTTATCTTACGCTTAAGCAGACCTGATTTTTTTTTTTCTTGAACATGCCCTTTCTAGAAGCGAACAACTCCACAGAAAATTTGGCCAAATGTTTGAAGAAGGCGAAGATGAAGAATGCAGAAAACACAAAATCAAAATCGAATGCTCATTATGCGTTCAGTTTACCCGCGTCGAGCGTAGGCTTCTTGCACATTCACTACGTTTTCTCATTTTCGCCTTATCGTTCATGAAAGTTACTGCGGGTTTTCCACTAATTTAATGGATAGGAAATGTATACTTTTAGGAAAGGATGGATTTGATGAGCATGCCGCGCCTTTCAAAACCTCCATCGGCAGACGAATCTGACGATGATCAGGTGTGTCATATAATACCGAGTAAACTCTTTGAAACATATAATACCGAGTAAACTCTATTCAGTGCACAAATTTCTACAGGCGTCTATGCCGCAGTTAACGATGGAGGAGAAAATTCCTGCGGACCGTGTTGCTCTTGTTCCTGAACGTTCTCTCCGTTCTCGGCGTCTTAGTTTGCTTCAGAAAAGCAACAGCAGCAATGACATGCAGCAATCCAGCGTATCTGAGGTAATTTGGTTTATTATTACACAAAAAATAAGCGTTATGCATTTGCAGTTTTTTACACTTTATTACAGGATGCTGTATTGTCGAGGTTACGAAGATTTGTCCCGAATATAATTGACAATGAAGGATTAAAGTGTTTGAATAAAGGTTGCAAGGAAAAAAATTCTTTTGCATCTATATTTGTTCTGGCTTACCACGTAACACTAAAACATAATTGCCGATTTCCTTCTAGTAACTCTATACCATGCTTCCTTTGTGGACAGCACTTTCAAAGGCAATACTTTTTGAAAATTTGGTTTTAAATTCTAGTTAGACGCATACACCCTTCTGCGTTGTTTTAATGCTCCTCTAGTGTGCGATTTTTAATCTGGCGTGTATGTTTAATAGTCAGTGCTTTTCATTCTCTAGGTATAACTCAATACTGGAGCATCTCAAAGAAAAACATAAGAAGATTCGTAAAGAATATACGTCACCTCGTGCTTCACAACTCGAAGAGAAGGAAAGCAAGAGGGGGAAAAAAGCGAAGCCCGGCAAAGTTCGTTTTTGCTTCTTCGTACTCAGGTCTTTTGGATATAAGAATTTAAAGAGAGCAGTTTTGTAACTGAAACGAACGTTTCTTAATCTTTTTTTGTGTTTTATAAGATTAGAAAGGAAGCTGAAAGTTATCTTCAAGATGGAGCACTATTTTTTACACCGCTTTAGGGTGGGAATTCTACCCTTTCTCGTAGTTTGAGCCCGGAGAATAATGAAGTTGCTGCGTCTGAAAGTGTTTCTGATGGTGAAGATATGGAAGAGGCTCCAAAGCTGGAGATTATGCGTCCTGATTTTTCATTTGGTGCTAGTTGCGAAAACACCGAAAAGGACACCGAAACAGATTCGACGGTAGGGCTGAACTTTTAGCAATTAGTAACTTCTGAAAGGTTGACAAACGCTGTGGTTTATACAGTGAGAAAACTATTGTGATGAGGTCTAATATGATTATGATTATGAGGTCATAATGCACAATAGAATCGTACTGATATCCATTTTTTCTCAGACACTGGTCACAGTGATTTTCTTTATTTCAGATTCGGAGTGAAAAACCGACGGAGGAGTCCAGTTTCACAAAGCATGTTTTTGGTTCTGTTAAAGATTTTAATATCCTTTCATTTAGTCATTCCACTTTTTGAAAAAAGAGAGCGTTACCAAATCATTTTTTATTATTTCTTCAATTGTTTTATTCAAGTTTATTTGCAGGGCTCGGTCTAGTCCTGTTCATTTCAAGGAAGGAACTAATGTAAGTACCTGTCGCAGTCTTTCTGTAGGTCTCGTATGTCTGTTTTAAGTCTTCTTCTACAACTAAGCGTTAAATAATGGTCATTTTGTGAGGTCTCTCTTTCTTTGATAAATATTTTTTGTAAACGTTTTACAAGTTATAGAAATTTTTATCGAGTTTGCTCTACTTTGTCACTTTGGAAATGAGTTTTGGGAGAAGGTTTTCTGTAGTTTTGGATTTTTTGGTAACTTATCTTTGTTTTAATCTTTTAAATTAAGGTCGCCGAGGAGGAAGATGTAAGAGTAAAAGGAGGTGGAACAACGTCAGAAAAATTCGAACAGGTAAGGTGGATCGCTAATTTTAAAAGAATATTAGCTTATTTTCATTTTATTTACAATGGTAGGACTTCTGAAGAGTATTTTGATTGAAGATATTTTTGACTAATTTTTTCTTGTCTAAGGTAAGTGACTCATTTTTTGATTACAGGAAGTGCGGAGGTGTGTAAATGACCTTGTCAACATTGTATGCGGTATTCCTACGGGAGTGATTGGTGAGGGGACAAAAACTTCGGTTACGGAAGGAGGGGAAGATTATCTCAAAGAAAGCATAACAGTTAAAGAAGAACAAGCTGAATACGGAATTGTAAGAATTATAGATGTTGCAAAAAGTGTTAAAAGTGAAGACTCAACTGGAGTTAGCGAAGAAGTATGTTTATGCTAATTTTTATAAAATTGTTTTTGAAGTTTAAATCGGTTTTTCTCTTTTAAGTTTTGTTAATTTGTAGGATAAGGAGATTGCTGAAGTTGCAACTACAGAGCGAAAAGTAAGAAAACGTGGAAATCCTAACTGGTTGAATGCGCACAAGCAAAAGGCAAATGAAGAAAGAATTAAGCGTCAGCAAGAGTTATTAGAATCGAGAAATGCCAATGCTGGTCGTCCAATTAAGAAAGGAACTAAAGTGAGTTATACTAAAAAATTGAAACAATTAGGAGAAAATGCGTAACTCTGGGGGATATTCTGTTTCAGAAAGCTCAAGCTGCAGAAGATGACCGTTTGAAATCTGGAGAAAAAACCAAACGGGGCGATACAAATCGGGCGAGAAGTTCTAATAACGATTATGATGCTTCTGGAGATGAAAGTGAAAAAAAGGGTTCTTTAAGAAAAGATGGTTCGGATGAGGACGAGAACGATGACAGTGTGCAAAGCGACGATGTATTTTTTTGTCTATCCTGTTTTCTAATTTTTTGAAATCAACTTTTTTTACCTTTTTTCACTACTTCTTTGGGTGAGTTTTCCAACTTATTGATTTTAGGAACAGATTGAGGCAGTTCATGAAACGTCTAGTCGGCCATCACGGAAAAGACGTAAACCAAATTGGATAGATGATAACGATTTTGTTACTACTGAGTTCAGGTAATAAAACTTATTCGTTCCTATCAACGCTGAAGAGAGGAAAAAGGAGGTATGTATTTTTTACTTTTGCATTACAAGATGTTTTAAAGGAAAAAGTATTCGAGACGAAGCGGTACAACTGATAATGGCAGTAATGTGACTGCTGGTGATTACGATCAGACGGAGCCTGCGAGTTCGTATAAGCGTGTAGGCCAAGAGATGTGTGTTACAGAAGCTTCACAAAATTTGGCATCTTCACGTGTGGCCAGTGATTCATCCGACCTAAAAAAAGCAGATTCTACGGGGAAGATTAGTCAAAGTGATGTTTT